ACCAACCCTACCTAACCTAACCTAACCTATATTTATAGGTAAGGTTAGGTTAGGTAGCCAAAAAAAGCTAGGTTAGGTTAGGTTAGGTAGGTTAAGTAGACGAAAAAACATTAATTCATGAAAACTTGGCTTATTAGGCAAATCGGGCCTTGAATAGTAGGCTGAGAAGTGCGTTCTGGCTATTAGGTACGACATATATATATATATATATATATATATATTATATATATATTATATATATATATCAGTTAATTTGTTTAAGCATATTTTGTATATGTATATATTAGTTATATATATATATATATATATATATATATATATATATATATATATATATATATGTCGTACCTAGTAGCCAAAACGCACTTCTGAGCCTACTATGCAAGGCCCGATTTGCCTAATAAGCCAAGTTTTCCTGAATTAATATATTTTCTCTAATTTTTTTCTTATGAAAAGATAAAGCTACCCATTTCATTATGTATGATGTTAATTTTATTTTATTGGAGTTAAAATTAACGTAGATATATGACCGAACCTAACCAACCCTACCTAACCTAACCTAACCTATCTTTATAGGTTAGGTTAGGTTAGGTAGCCGAAAAAGGTAGGTTAGGTTAGGTTAGGTAGGTTAGGTTGTCGAAAAACAATTAATTAATGAAAACTTGGCTTATTAGGCAAATCGGGCCTTGAATAGTAGGCTGAGAAGTGCGTTCTGGCTACTAGGTACGACATATATATATATATATATATATATATATATATATATATATATATATATATATATATATATATATATATATATATATATATATATATATATAATAAAAAACGATGCTCTTATGTAATGAATCGCAAATGTTATAATATTAACATAATGCCCATATGAGATAATTAAGATTACTGATTAGAATTTCTTGTAAAAAAAAAGATGTCACAGAACGAACAGAAATGTCGTTTCTTCATTTTGTGATGTGTGCTCTGGTCATCATGCACGAGTTCAGGTTGAAATATGCCGGAAAAACACGCTCATTTTCATTATGCATCGTGCTCTTAATGAGTTTTCCTCTGCGGGGAACTTGGTAATAAACCTCTTTGAAACATTTATGGCAATAAAAAGTGCGAAACATTTCTAGTCCGACTGCGGGGAGTGTGTGAAGTTTCTCATTTCGATCAATAGATGGCGTTGTCAAAGCCTCACAACCTCTTGCAGGTATTTGGCTATCCTGTGTCTCTTCTTCCTACATGTAGTATTCTACACATACAGGAATTTATATATATATATATATATATATATATATATATATATATATATTGAATATGACCGCATATTCTGTATTTATTATTTTCTGGTTTAGGGCTTCTATTCCTCTAACTATTTTCTTAGCATCAGGGCTTAACTATTTACTCCTCACCCCATGAGATAGCTCCACCCCTCACCCCATTACTTAACTATTTACGAACTATTTACTCTACCCACCATGAGAGTAAGGACAAGGCAAGAACATATCGATGCCAACACAGAAGACAATGTCCAACATAACAGGCCAATTACACTGGATTAATCTTTGTGTTTGGATAGGAGATGCCTCGTATGGGCCAATAAGCCTTCTGCAGCCCCTATGTTTATCCCTTATGTATCCCCCCATGTTTTCACCTTCATTGTATTATCACCTGACCTAATGCGGGTATAAAATCAACTAGTATTGTAAGATCTGTTCACTTGAGAATGAAGCATGGAGGTTCGAAACGTCGTGCAAATTATACAAATAAGTGTAATACACTCTATAGTAAATCACTTCTTTTCTTCACCTTAAAAGTACGAAAATGAGTTTTGGAGAACTCCTATTTCAATTAAGCCCTGATGCTAAGAAAATAGTTAGAGGGATAGAAGCCCTAAACCAGAAAATAATAAATACAGAATATGCGGTCATATTCAATGAAACATGTTTGAAAGAAAACCTGCTGCCAGTATACACCAATATATATATATATATATATATATATATATATATATATATATATATATATATATATGACCGAAAAAGTAAGATTAATAATTCTAACACGAATTTTCTCAATATTTTTTATATTTCTTTTCACTGTTGATGGTAACTGAAAAATCAACTGTTTTGCTGTTTAGGGTACTGAATAAATTTAAATATCCCGTGAAGGAAACAGGGCAACTAGACACTGCCCAGGGGCGATAGAAGGGAGCCTCCATCTTAAACAAATTCTGAGTAAGCCGGTTTAGTGGGAACGCCTCAGTTTGTATTTAATTACAATGGCTGACGCACGACCCTTCGCTTCACAACACCGCACTGTGGCTTGCTCCACATAATTGCTGATTAATAACGAAATTTAAATGAAACTTAAAGAATCTGATGATGAAATTATCAATGGCGATTCTGACATTGATAAGGATTATGGTCAGGGCTCAGATAAAAGTGCTATAGACTTTAATATAAAGATCGAGGTTTTACACGACTTTTCCCATATTCTGGTGAGGACACAAGTGAAATGGACTTTTTATGGCATACTTTGACGAGGTGCTCATGGAACATATTGTTCAGGAATCAAACAGATGTTCTGTCAAGCTTACTGGAATAGAGGTCATATTACCCCATTCACGACTGAATCACTGAAACGATAGCACTGGAGCTGAAATTTATATATTTCTTGCACTGTGGATGATAAAACATTCTGTGAAACATGTCTTCCATACCTATTGGAACAAAGACTTTGTTGTAACAACACCTTTTTTTATTTTATTTTTAGAAAATACATGTCTTGCTAAAGGTTTATGCTAATTTCCAAGGGGATTAATTTTGTTAATAAAGAAAACTGTTACCACTACGCACTTGAGCTGGGCTCATGCTCCCGTCACAGTCTCCAGAAAAATCCCCTAAGTCATAACACGTCAATAATATCAAAGGTTCATTAAGTAAAGCACAGTTGTTACAAATGGAACACCAGTTTACTAGGTGATAGGAACATCAAAATTATCTCCAGAAGTCATGACAGCACACACCACAAAATTATTGAATTACAATGGATTGATGACCACTGACACACAAAATATATTGTTATGGTTAATGCAATAAACACAAATAATACCAGACTAACTAACAACACCTGAGCAAATATAAAAAACAACAGGAACTAAACCTAGAGAAACACACAAGGGTCAGTCAACACTGACTCCCAACCAGCGACTGCTCATTCTGCAAGCTCAGATTAATTTGCTAGACCAACCAGGACCACAGTCGCCAACCAGGACTGGCACAAACACTTAACAGACACACATGCATATCAAGATAATCACTCTCAAACACTTAAAAACACGAGTATGTAATATCCTACACACTCTGGAATAATATTAAAAATATCTAGCTGCACCCGGCAACGCGTTGCTTTGGCTCTTAGCCACAGCAATCCTCCTCTGTCTCTCTATCCTCCCACCATTCCGCACTTCCTCATTCTCTCGGCCTCCCAACAATTCCCCCTCTCACCCGTCACTTTGTCCTCCCCCACCATCCCCCACTCCCCCATCCCCTCGCTCTCGCCACCATCCCCCACTCCCCCATCTCCTCGTCCTCCCCACCATTCCCCCTTCCCCGTAACCTCGTCCTCCCCACCATCCTCCTCTACCGTCCCCTCGTCTTCCCCACCATTCCATACTCCCTGGTCTGATGCGTTCCAAAATGCTCTGATGTTCCCATCACTAAAAAAACAAGAAGAACAGGTAAAAAACGAAATGAAAACAATGAAAAAATAAAAAAATAAAATATACTCACAAAATGAATGGTATGGTGAACAACACAGCTCAATTCCAATGCAATGTCACACAAAACAATTAAATGAAAATGAAAATATATCAAAATCCATGAAAATTTAAATTAATCAATGGAATTGGAAACATTGAAATGGAATCGTAACATATTTAATATAGTGTGTGTTGCTTTTACGTGCTGCAGATGGCTCTGTTTTTAAAAAGAAACATGTTTTTACCGGTAACAGGTGTGGCATGTATATAATAGGAATATAAAAACACGCACCTATTCAAATGAAACGTTGTGTCCAAATTTCAAAGCAATCGGTAAATAGATTTAGGAGATTTCTCTCACATGAGAACTGACATGAAAAACAGTTTTTACTAAATTTTTTGTTCTTACCTGTCACAGACATGACATCTATATAGTAGGTAATAAAAACATGCTTGTATGCGAACGGAACGTTGTTTCAAAATTTCAAAGCATTAGGTGAAGAACTTTCGGAGATTATAAATTTTGAACAAACGAACATTTACATTTGATTGGGGGGTAGAAATAGCCAAAGCTACTCTATCCCTTTGAGATGTATTTATTGCTTATCTCAATAAACATACTTGAACTTGAACTTGAACATTTGATTTATATAGATAATACTTCACATAAGGAAAACAATAGTTATTGAATGACGAAACAGACTTGGTAACAATGACGCTCCACACAACTGGACACCTCAGGGCCCCATCTAATACCTGACCACTTGTATAGCCCGCACCACTGACTACTGTCTTGCAATAGAATACAATACTGCAACACAATGGCATTACAGAACACACATAATTAGGAGGATATAATATAACAGTACTTATGCACAGAAAACATAATATGATAATTTTTTATCAGCACAGAAAACATAATATGATAATTTTTTATCAGCACAGAAAACATTATATGGTAATTTTTTTCATATATGACAAACTGAGGTAGGATGAATGTATAATTATGCATACATTAGAAATACTAAGAATCAGGTAATTACCTGATTCGAAAATCCCTCCATCTCCCAGAATTTGTTTTAATTAATTGAAGATTAATTGCATTTTTACTAAAGGTAATTACAAATTTTAGTACTTGAACCAACAAAGATGTCAAATATTAATTGTTGACAATGAACTTCATAAGTATGACAGTGCAACCTGGAAAACGACATGAAGAATGCACATGACAACTGAAATGCAGTAGAAAACACATAAACAACGTCTCTGGAAAAACATGCAATAAATCAGGAAAATAGTATTTAACAGGATTCATCTCCTTGCAAGAAAAGAAACACAATTTGAATCTTAGCTTTTACAGTGGTAATGAGTTACTTAACTCCAGCAGAATGAAAAACTAAATATTGAAATAATTCAAAGCTCAAACTTTGACAAAACGCTCTTTACATGAGAACACTCACCAATCACTGTGGCAACTATACAATATACATTGCCTTTATCAAATCCTAAATCAAAGTCTTCACACTTTGGTACTCACCTAGTTGTGGCTGTTGGGGTTGAGCTTTGGCTCTTTGGTCCCGCCTCCAAACTGTCAATCAAATGAGGTACAGATTCCTGAGCCTACTGGGCTGTCATATCTACATTTGAAACTGGGTATGGAGTCAGCCTCCACCACATCACTTCCTAGTCCATTCCATTTATTAACTACTCTGACACTGAAAAAGTTCTTTCTAATGTCTATGTGGCCAATTTGGGTATTCAGCTTCCACCTGTGTCCCCTTGTGCGTGTACCACCCGTGTTAAATAATCCATCCTTGTCCAGCCCTGTCAATTCCTCTGAGAATTTTGTATGTGGTGTCTTCCGTCTTCCCTGTCTCGTCTGTCTTCCAGCTACGTGAGGTGCAGTTCACGTAGTCTGTCTTCATAACTCATTCCTCTTAGTTCTGTGACTTGCCAAGTGGCTATCTCTGAACTTTTTCCAGCTTCGTCATGTGCTTGACGAGAAACGGGCTCCATGCTGGGGATTCATACTCCAGGATTGGCCTAACATATGTGATATACAATTTTCTGAAGGATTCCTTACACAGGTTTCTGTAAGCAGTTCTGATGTTAGCCAGCCTCGCATAGGAAGCTGATGTTATTCTTTCGACGTGGGCTTCAGGAGATAGGTTTGGCGTGATATTAACTCCTAGATCTTTCTCTCTGACCGTTTCGTGAAGGACTTCATATCCCATTCGGTATCCAGTGATTGACCTCCTAATTCCCCCTCCTAGTTGCATTACCTTACATTTACTTGGATTGAACTTTAGTAACCATTTTGTCGGAAAATTCCTTCAGTTTGTCTACGTCATCTTGTAGCCTTATACTATCCTCATCCGTCTTGATCCTCCTCATAATTTTTGCGTCATCAGCAAACATCGAGAGGAACGAGTCAATTCCTTCTGGGAGATCATTCACATATATCAGAAACAGTATACGTCCAAGGACTGACTCCTGTGGGACTCTCTAGGGACTCCCTGCCACTCCGAGACCTGACCCCTCACGGTGACTCGCTGTGTTCTGTTGCTAAGGTACTCCCTTATCCAGTGGAGTACCTTCCTTTCACTCCTGCCTGCATCTCCAGTTTGTGCACTAGTCTCTTATGTGGTATTGTGTCAAAAGCTTTCTGGCAGTCCAAAAATATGCAGTCTGCTCAGCCCTCTCTCTATTGCCTGATATTTGTTGCCTGGTCATAGAACTCAGTTAAATCTGTTAGGCATGATTTGCCATGTCAGAACCCATACAAATGTTATGTTACAAAGTTCTTCCGCTCCAGATATTCCACTAGCTTTTTACGCACAATCTTCTCCATCATCTTGCATGGAATGCAAGTTAGGGACACTGGCCTGCAGTTCAGTGTCTCCTGCCGATCACCCTTCTTGCATATTGGGACTACATTGGCCGTCTTCCAAATTTTTGTCAGTTCACATGTTACCAGTGATTTGTTGTACACCATGTAGAGTGGCAGGCACAGAGCTTCTTCTCCTTCCTTTAGAATCTATGGCGAGATTCCATCCGGGCCTATAGTCTTTGTCACGTCCAAATCTAGCAGATGCTTCTTCACTTCCCCACTGGTAGTCACTAACTCCTCTAGTGGTGTCTGGTTTGATGTTCCCTCTCTTATCTCTGACACTTCTCCTTGCTCTGAGGTGAAGACCTCCTGGAATTTCTTATTGAGTTCCTCGCACACTTCCTTGTCGTTTGTAGTGAATCTTTCTACCCCTATCCTTAGTTTCATTGCCTGTTCCTTCACTGTTGTTTTCCTCCTCATGTGGCTATGCAGCAGTTTGGGTTGAGTCTTTGCCTTGCTCGCTATGTCATTTTCATATTGCCTCTCTACCTCTCTTCTCACCCTGACATATTCATTCCTGGCGATTTGGTATATCTTTCTCTGCTCTCTAGTGTTCTGTTGTTTTTATAGTTTCTCCACGCCCGGTTACTTAGTGTCTTAAAGCTGGGTGGACAGCGCTTCGGATTCGTAGTCCTGAGGTTCCGGGTTTGATCCCTGGTGGAGGCGGAGACAAATAGGCAAAAAAAAATTTCACCCTGATGCCCCTGTTACCTAGCAGTAAATAGGCACCTGGGAGTCAGGCAGCTGCTTCATGGGGGTGTGTAACAAAAAGGGTGAAAGAAACACTTTGCCCATTTGTCTCCGCCTCTACCGGGGATCGAACCCGGAACCTCATGACTACGAATCC